TGATTTCTATTTTTAATAAAATAAGCTATATTATTTTTAAATAAATAAAAAACAAACTTTTAATTATTTCATATAATTGGTCAATTGTGTTTATTAAATGAATATAAAATTTTAATAATAAATTAAAGTAAAAAATAAGAATATAATAATTACTTAATATTATTAAAAAGAAAAAATGAAGTTAAAATCAATTAGATAAATGTTAATTACAAACCATTGCAGAAAAATTAAAAAAATTAAAAAAATAAATTTATCAATAAAATTAAAAATTTTTAATTTATTAGTAATTTGAACTCTAACAATTATCTATTAATCTCAAATTACTAAATAAAAAATAGTACCAAACATTTAATTCATAACAACTTTGAAATAAACAATTTACTCTTTTTTTTTTTTTGAACTTTTTGTCATAGGTCTGGTTTGAAACCTGGTCAGGGGAGGAGATAAGCACTTTTATCAATGACACTAGTCATTGGGTCACAAAAACCAAGTGCGAAATAAACAATTTACTTAATACCTATCCTATAACAATTTATATAGAACTATTAATCACTACTCTTAAATTGCTATACCAAACAAACCATGGTATTACACGATGTCTTAAAACATAACCCCATGAGCAACCCGTTTTCAACACCAGGTGCGGTTCAACCGGTTCAGCTGGATTAATTGGCCAGCTTGACCAGTAAATGAAAAAAGTTGACCTTTTTAATTTTTTTTATATTTTATTGTTATATGATGATATTACTTTATTTTCAAAACATAATCATCTAAAACAACTCGTAAATCACCTTTGAAGCAACTTAAAAATTTGAATTTAATTGAATATATACAATTCAAAAAACAAAATACACAAAAATTAAAAAGTGAACAAAATTTTAAAATTTACCGATGCTTATTTGATATAACTGTTAAAATTTAATAAATAATGGCAACGAATACGAATGACAATTAATAGATATTAGGTAACAAATAGTGAAAAGCAGGTAGCATCTAGTGAATAGTAAATAACTAATTTGATTAATATAATTGTTTAGTTATATAATAATTAATAGTTGTTATTCAATATTAAATGATTAATAAAAATATATTTAAAAACAATTAAGTGAATTTTTTTATATTTTTAATTAAAATTATTTATTTTATAAAAAAATTAAAAAATTAAAATGGATAAAATTTTCAATCTATCTTAAGTAATTTTTTTTATTAACCAACGATTTGAAGTCTAACTATTATCTATTAGTTTTAAATCATATATTAAATAAAAATTTTAGTGAATACTTAGTTTGTAGTAGCTTTAAATACTTAATTTATAATAATTTTAAAATAAATACATTTATTAAATACATATTATTAATAGTTTAGACAAAATCACTAATTACTGTCTTTGAACCGTTTTATCAAACAAGTTTAAAATTTGATCAGATTTTCCTTCAAAACCGATCAGAAGTTATACCATCCTATCTCGTAGTCGAATCTGGTTGAATCAGTTAAATTGACCAAGTCGGCCGTATTTTTAAACAGTGGCATCGCAAGTAAGAAAAACACAGGTATGAGTATTTCCAAAAAAAAGAAAAAAAAGGGGAAAACAGAGACTTACAAGTTCTTTTTCTACCATTTCCAATTTACTTCTAAGTTGGTCTACTTCTATTGACCGACTTTCAGACAGTCGCTTCACCGACGCGTTCAAGGATTCAATTATCGCAGCCTTTAATTTTCCATTTTCAGCCTCCACTGTCTTAAGATTGGACTTCAGTTCACGTTTTCTTTCCTGAACATAAATTAAAAAAAAAAAAAAGAAAAGAAAAAAGCTTTTGAGTATCATTTTCAAAAATTTTGAAAATTAAAAATAAGATCTCTTTTTTTTTTTTCTTCAAAAAAAATAGTAGAAATTTGCAGCCGGAATTCACCTTTACAAAAATCAAGAACTCTAAGCACAAAAGATTTTTTATAGGAGAGATATTCACTTATATATTAATTTTTACATATTATATTTATATAAAATCTTAATTATTTATCTATTTATTTTTAATAATTGAGATGTATTATGACTTTTTAGATAAAAATTATAATTTTTTAATAAATGTAAATAAATTTTAATCTTGAATAAAAAAATAATTAATTAAGATTTTATGTAAATATAATGCGTAAAACTAGTGTATAAATAGATTGCTACCCTTTTCCATGTTAGGATTAAAATTGCAATAAGAACTAAAAAAACATTAACTGTTTCTCAAATTATGTAAAAATTTCTATGACCTTCTAAAATTCCAATTAAAATTTTGTTTGTAACTTAACAGAAATAACTAATAGTAAGATTAAGTTTGGTAATTTTGAAAAGGTTGAAAACTATTTTTTGTCCAAATAAAATGTTAGGACAATATTTAATATTTATACTAAAATTTGAAGACTAAATCTGATAGTTATTTAAAAATAAAAAATTGATGCTAGACTTCACTGAAACAGAAAATAACCTTATACCAAATAAATTTTCGACATCCTCTCTCTCTCTTAATGAATCTGCATTCTTAAAACTAAAATAAGATATAAAAGATAACACTCCTACTACCAAACAATTCCAAATAATTAGTTTGGATTTCTCAATTAGGAGGAAATTTACCAGGCACTTATTCCTCTTCTCCTTCCATTTGGCCAATTTTTTTGTAAGATCATCTACATTTTTCCCAATTTCGGTAAGATCATCTACTTTCTTCTCCTGTTCGGCCAATCTTCTTCTAAGATCCTCTGTCATTGCTTTTTGGGATGCAATTTCTTTGCGTAATTCTTCATTTTCAGGCTCAAGTTTATCCGCTAGCGCTGCTCTTTTCTGGACATGAAACCATAAAATGAGGGACTATGAATGCACTGACCTCATATATAATGTCTGAATAATTATCTTTCCGAATTTTTAGTAAAAAATTAATAAAATCATAAAATAGTCATTTATTACTGTATGGTACTCCATAAGCTAAATAATTTAGGAATGATTATCTTATAAACGAAACATGCTAAAAAAAAAAAATAAACACAAACAAAAATATGATGAAACTGTTTGGCTTAACTTTTTTTTCAATTACTGTATGAGTATCTAATTTAAGAATAATTACCCCATATATATGATAAAGTGCAGCGAAGTTATAACCAATTAATTTGGATTAGATCATCTTACATCTTGCAGAGTATTTTTACCTTGAGTCTATCCCTATATGCTTTGTCGTTCCTTTTTTTTCTTGCACGTGGGTCTGCTGCAGTAATCTGAGGAATATTTCTTCTTGAATGAGAATCTGCTGAGGATATATCTGCTGGTTGACGTTGACACTGTTCTGGTTGCCTCATCAACTCTGTTTCAGCTCCGGTCTGAATCTGATTGATCTCTAGGAGATTTTGCACACCAATACTGGGGACTGGATCTTGAAAATATCGGTCGATATTTGCTGCTACAGATTAAGGATACAATATACTGTGAAGACATCATCGGAAATTTATCAAAGCAAAAGAACCAAAAAGAGCCTTAAACCTTACAACTTCCATTGATGGATTGCCTTTCCTCATCTTCACCGCCTCGACAGAAATCAGTATTCCTTGACTTCTCCATTGAGTTTTCTTGGGGGATGGTGAGTTATTATGAGCTAGGAGGAAAATGTTAAATAATATGAGCCTCGAAGACAGGGTGCCATAAGGAATTAAAAGAAGGAACGGTTGAAGGGGAAGAGGGAAATGTTTTTGGCATATTTGTCTTTGGTATGTACGATCAGAGATGATGCCCTTCCCCAGCTAGGTTTTGCATATTTTGATTTTCGAATTTCGAGATTAGTAACTCCCTCATTGTTAGGCTTTTTCAACCTTACTTATCTTTTCCACGTAGTAGTTTATCTAAAACTGATTTTTTTATTTTTAATTAATTTTAATTAATATTTTACACTCTTTATTTTAAAATAATTATTTTTGTAATTTTGAGTTTATGTCTAGTTTATTTTTTGGGTAGACAAATATTTTTTTATCTTATTTAACTCTATTATTAATTATTTGTTTTATTTAATTATCTTATCATAAAAAATATGTCTTTATTTTTAATTTTTTTTTAAAGTAATACAAGTAGATATATGAATTGTCCATAAAACTTAAATTTTTTAAAAAATAATAATAGTTATTTTGAAAAAAAATAAGTAATTCAATATTTCTAATTCTAGAAATTGAATTCATTTGTAAGAAAATTTATTTTATCAAGTAAATTTAATATTCAAATCTTGGTATTAGAGGCTAAAAAAATTAATTTCATTGATTGTATAAAACCGATGTAAAGGTGCATCAAAATAAAGAATATCACCATGGTCTAAACAAAATAGTTTGAAATGTGAAAAATGACTCGAAATTACCTAACCATAAATATAAAAAACACAAGAAAAAAAACTTATAACAATAGTTTAACACAATATAATACAATACTTCTAAACAAAGTTTTTAATATATTTGAAAAAATTAAGTTATTTTAAATATTAGTCTCAAAATTTAAACTATTCACTTGATTTGCCGACACTTTTTTACCGTGGATCCGATGATACCTTTGGGGTGAAAAGTATTTTGGAAAGGGAGACTTTGTTTGACTAAGGATTTTAAATTTTAGGGAACAAAAGGGCATTTTCAAAAATTTGGCCGCGTTATGCCATTATGATGGCCTTTGACATTTTGTTGCAACACGCTTTCAGAGACCTTCCGTGGGTTGTGATGATTCGAACGTTGAGCTATCGATCACCGGTCGCTAATCGAAAGGCAGAGATCGGTAATTTGACAAATCATGTGGTCACTGAATTTATCATTATTAACATTTTGATCACCCAACATCTCTAAACTACCATTTCAGTTGTTGGATCCTTTTACGGACTACACCATCATTGATTCATCAGCACATTTTATTAGAGAAACAATCATTTCTTAGGAAAATTCTAAGTAGAGCATGATTTAGAAAGGATTACTAATTTCTTCTAGTGTAACTTAAGAGGAAGATTACTTATAAGGGTTGGATAAGTGTGTTAGGCTTCTTGATGAGTTTTGATGATGAATTAATACCATAATTTATTGGTATTTGAGTTAATACCATAAGGGAAATATTATGCATAAAGCTTTTTCAACCTTACTTATCTTTTTCATGTAGTACTTTATTCAAAAGTGATTTTTTATTTTTATTTAATTTTATTAATTTTAATTAATATTTTATACTCTATGTTCTAAAATAATTGTTCTTTTTTAATTTTGAGTTTGTGTCAAATTCATTTTTTAGGTAGATAAATATTTGTTTTATCTTATTTAACCCTATTATTATTTATTTGTTTTATGTAATTATCCTATCACAAAAAGTATGTTTTTTTTAACTTTTTTTTAGGAATAACATAGATAAATACATAAATTGTCTCTAAATTTTTAATTTAAGGAAAAATTAAAAAATAGATAATTATTTTAAAAGAAAGAATATAGTAAGTATTCAATATTTTTAATCTTAAGGGTTAAATTCATTAGTAAGAAAAATTTTATCTTATAAGATAAATTTAAAATTCAAATCTTAATATTAAAGTTTAAAATTTTAATTTTTTTTAATTATATCAAACTGATATAAAGATGCACTAAAATAAAGAATATCACTATGACGTAAACAAAATGGTTTGAAATGCTAAAAATGAACTGAAAATGCCTAACCATAAACATAAAAAAGACAAGGAAAAAACTTATAACAATAGTTTAGCACAACATAAACCGATACTTTTAAGTTTTAAACTAAGTCTTAATGCATTTGTGGAAATTAATTAATTTAAATATTAATCTCAAAATTTAAAACATTGACTTGATTTGCTGACACTTTTTTATCGTGGATCAAATGATAACGTGGGTACGAAAAGTACTTTGGAAAGGGCCTCTGATAATTCCCTGCAACGCGGTTTGAGGGACCCTCCGTGAGTTGCGATGACTCGAAAGTTGATCCATCGATCATCGGTCGTTAATCGGAAGTCAGAGATCGGTAATTTGACAAATCATGTGGTCACTGAATATATCATTATTAACATTTTGATCACCCAACATCTCTAAACTACCATTTTAGTTGTTGGATACTTGGATCCTTTAAGGGACTACACCATCATTGATTCATCAGCACATCTTATTAGAGAAACAATCATTTCTTCATTAAACTATAAAAATCAGGAAAATTCTAAGTAGAGCATGATCTACAAAGGATTACTAATTTCTTCTAGTAGTGTAACGTAAAGGGAAGATTACCCATAAAGGTTGGATAAGTGTGTTAGGTTTCTTGATGAATTTTGACGATGGGTTAATATCATGATTTGTTGATATTTAAAGAATTTAATTTTAAATGTATAAGTAAGTTAATTAAAAGTTTTAATCTTTTTCACAATTAAAATAAAAGTTTAGCAAATCAATCTAATTTAATTTAAATCAATCCTACAAAATTAAAGTCCAGAGTTTTTTTTTTGCAAGTAGTTTAAATCAATATTTATAGGTTTGAAACAAAAATTTTGAAAAGATCAATTTCAATCACTCGGCAAACAACTTTAATTTAATAAATCATAAAAGTTTTGTTTTGGTGCACATTGAATACTTGTTATGGAAAGCTGAAAAATGTGAAATTAAATTGGAGTACGTTTGAGGATTGAAGACCAAAAAGAAAACCTAATCGCAAAAGACTCCTCCACTAACCATTTCAAATTAGATTAAGACTTAAGAGAATCAAACCAAAAATAGCACATAGGAATTCTTTGTAACTTTATTATTGTGAGTTTTTTTGGGTAACTTTTATTCACAAGACTTTATAATCTTCTAAATTTTAGATAATTCTTGAAGGCTTTGAGTGACATTAGGAGATATTTTACTTGTATATGCTTACTAGCACTTTTATTTCTTCCTTGAAAATTTTTACAGTCAACTTTTTAATGTCTACACGACTTTCGGCCCAGTTAACCTGCGTACTGGGCCACGCTACTGCAAACCAACTTTGGGCCGCCAATGAAGTTTCTGGAATACCCAACTTCTGGACTTCCCATTGCAAACCTTCCTTCAACCATTGCTTATTCTGGTTGCCGGCGCCGGCGGTAGGCTAGAGTGCTTTTCCATTTCGAAACAGTTCCAGTTAGATAAGAAAATACTGCAGACTTCGGCTTTGTCATTGGTGTGTGCATCTGGATCTTCAGCTACTCCAACAACAGTTAGTAAATCTTCAATTTTTTTTTTCTTTTTGAGTATTTAGTTTTTTACAGAATCTGATTACTTTTTCTTCATTTTGGTGTTGGTTTTTGTTTAGGAATCAGTTTGTGTGTTAGTTCTCGACGGAGGTTTCGTAGAGATTGAGGGATAGTATGAAAAGGGTTGATAGAAAAATATAATTTTTTTAACTTCATAGGGCACCATAATTGATTCAGAAATACGACATAGATGGTTCTGTTCAAAAGTTTGTTGCTTATTATGAAAGGAATTTCTTAAAATGCTAAAGGAAGAAAGAGTAATGTCTTGAGATCATTTTGACTAGATAATACATGCTGCCATATAATGCCTGGTTATGGGTTTTCAAGATTCCTTGAAAATAGCAGAGGAGCTCCTTGCCCCTTCTAGGTCTTTTCTTCTCTGCTAATTTTTTTGTGGTCAATAATATCAATTTTCCTAATCTTTTTCTATCTGTATAATTGAATGTTAACTTAACAGGCTTTCTAAATATTCGTATAAGTCTTTGTTGTGCTCTGCTTCAGAATTTCTTTACTTCTTTATGTGTATATGATCATCTGATCTGATATTTATTTTGTACGAGTTTGTGCTGCATTCTGTATTTTTTGAGTTTTATATGACACGCTATTTATTGTCAAATATGAAATATATATACCGACAGTAATGACATATTCTTTCATCTTGTTAATTATTCCTTTGCTCCTCAACTTATTAGAACTAGATATCTTGGCAAGCAGAAATTTTTTTTTAAACTCTTCCCGGTGTTTTGTGTAAGGCTAAGGTTTCTTTAAGAAAATACTTTTTCTTGTTCTGATTAGACTTGAAACATTGTTACTGTATGTTGTAAACACAGCTTTTTCTTTCTCGAAATTCATCTGATCCATTTTGGTTTTTATGTTGCTCGTGTGTTTCTGTTTCTCTTCTCTCAGTATCTTGCAATCTCTTAGTGCTTGAGAGAATGGGTAATCTCTTGGTGCCTGAGAGAACGGGTGGATTGCTTCTGCAAAATGCTTCTGCACTTGTTTC